TAACTTTCATGTTACACCTGCCTCTGTGAAAAATAAATACATGCTTACATTTATATTTACATGTTGTACGTAATTCGCTAGTTCAAAAATCTTTATAGAATTTATATGGAGAGTATAATAAAACCTATATTTAAGGCATATTTTAGAATTTTTACAAATTACAGATCTGACTGTTTTGTTGCTGCTGTCTTCAAACCCCTCACAATATAGGAAACAGAAGACATATATATTTAAATTATTCATCACAGTCAGTACTGATAGATGTGCCTTCATCTACAAGTCTAGCAGCCTCCTAGAAATTTTGGTGTACTAAGCTTAAAAGCCAGATGTGATGTGTTGCTGTAGAGTCAGGACCAAGATTAGAAGTTAAGTGTCCCCAGATGTGAGTGTAGGTGTGGAGTTTCTGTTGATTTTTTAACGTCTCGTTTCTCTTCTAGAGAATAAATACCAGCCTGGCAGTAACACACATCAGCTCCAGTTTGCCTCTTTTCTGCCATAATACACAACACATCTGTGGCACAATCACATCAGTTACTCTGTGCTGGTAGGGTTTTTTCAAGCAGTTTTTTTCTTGATCTGACTCAGGAAAAACTCCACAGACATCACTGAGAAGAACAACATGACGAAAGTTGACTAGCATTGCCAGAAGCTTGAAGACCTCCCCCAGGGAACACATCTGGTTTTGTCTGCTTTGGAGATAAACCAGTCCAGGAGATAGCCCCATGTACTGAGGACCACAGAGACTCCTTGGCACTGTATACACAACTTGAAGAACTGTGCTTTAACTGCTCTGTGGAAACCACTGTAAGTTCTTATGTTGCTGATAGTCAGGAATTAAAAATAAAATGCTGTCTGTTAGTAATGAAGCTGTTGCAAAATAAAAAAAAATATTTTGCTTAATGAAGGTTAAATATTTGCCATTTCTAACAGCAGTAAATGTTTTCGCCCCAGCTTCCTAACTGGCTTCCTCTTCTACTCTGACTCACTCTGTTTTGTCACACTTCAGAAATATTTAAGCCTAGAAAAGTCTTTGAAGTTATTTGTCAACAGTTTTACAAATGCAGTTTAAAAGGGACTGCAACACATGATTGTGTTTTCAGCTACAGCTATCAATCCAGACATTCTCTCCACCAGGGAAACCTTGTGGAGTTTTTCATCTTAAGAAAATATAATCAGCTTCAAAGAGTAGCAGGATGCTATCTGGTACCAAAATGACACTAAGAATGACTTTGAAGTCTCCTCTTCGTAAATAGTCCCCATGGTTTCAATGCAAGTTTTTGCCAAGTAAGAATCTAAATCCTGTATGAAAGTGATATAAGTTCTGTTTTGTCTAAATTGCACCCTGTATTTCAGCATAAAGTTTAAATGCCTGTAATTTGATTACCTAATGTTTCATGTTCAGGAATATGATCTTTCTGCTTGGAAGGATAAAATTCTGAAATATGAACAGAGATAAAAAAGTGGGTTGAAAGCTGATGCCTTTCTTGTTTGAATGAACAGCTTCTGGTCAGACAAACTCACATTACTGCACATGCAGCAAATGTAATGTTAAATATTCTGCCTCACTACAGTTCCACTTGTGGCTGTGAGCAGGGTTGGATTAAAACTATGTGAAGTTGACATTTCCAGATCAAGGCACAGGCAGGAACAAATGTGCTGTGCACACTGTGAATGGAGAGTCTTGTCCAGAACACTCTTCAATCTTCCACTGAAGCACTCAGCTTTGTGGTTCGCCAGAGTAGACCAGAGCCAAAATCAGAGCAGAAAATTTTCCTACCAAACCCACACGATCTTCGGACACTTTGACACACATGTGGGTACCAGCAAGCCAGAATCTGTCTCTATGGATATGTGTTAGTAGATATCATTAATTTCAATCTTCCTTGGTATTTTTGAGCACTGGACTGCGTCTTATGCATCTTACAGGGATGTGCAACCAGCACTGATGCTCTCATTTTACCCAGTGAGCATCCCCCAAGCCAGAGAGCAAGATTTGTTGTAAAGCTTCTCTTCAAACGTCTTTGAACCTCAAGTACTGAGGTCATGTTTCAGTCTAGGAGACAAAACTAGCCCTAATTTGAAGTAAATCTCCTAAACCCATATAATCTAGTTATGGTTCTCTCAATATCAATTGCTTTAATAACTTGACCTCCTCCTATTGTGCTTCATTACTTAATAATGTAGATGTAGCCTTTGAAAAATGTAAATGTTTAAATACTGGTATTAATACATGCAATGATATTGTGATATAAGCAATGATTACAATTGTCTTTCAAAACACTAGTGTTTAGTTTGGCAATGAAATAATAAAATTAAAAAATAGAAAAGGTGAGCTGAACAGTTAGTTCAGTAAAAAGTCACTATGATAAAATGTGAGCACAGTTAATTTAAATTAACCAACGCCCTGTTTAATGAAGTATTATAAATATAGTAATATTAATAACATTACTGTAATATTATGCAATGTTATATTTAAACAAATTGCTTTATTTTATTCAACTAAAAGATGAGATACATAAAAAGGTCACAAATATGAATATATCAGACTAGGTAAGAATTACCTAAGCCTCATAATTGAAGTAATATACTCAGTAGAAAAGACCTAACAGGCATTTCTCTGTTGTACAAGGTTGCAGAAAAAGGGGAAGAGAGAAAAAGAGTAAATGAGATTCACAAATCTGCTTTTGTTGCGGCAAAACTGAGCTAGTGCAGGAATCCAAGATAGAACTAGAAAGTCTTTTCATTTGGAAAATTTTAAAACAAGACCATGAAAAAGAATGACAAAGCAAGGAGAGGGAAGTAGGATAAAAACAAAACAAGGAGCAGAAGCAAGATGCAACAAGCTTAATCAAGGTCTCTATCTGAAAATCCAGTGCTTTTCAAATATTTTTGTGTGATTCATGATCAAATTGGTATCTAAAAAGTGAGAATAATATTCTCAAAAGCAGCTACTCCTCTAGTGCCTCAGGTACAATTTTCAGTGCCAATAATTTTTTTCATTTAGCTATCAAATGGAAATGCTGAAAAGAGTTGGCTTGGAGCCAAGTGAGTAGTTGTTCGAGTTTGGGGTTTTTTTCCACTTTTCACTGATACAAAAATAAAAACGAACTTTTAACATCAGAGAAGAATTCCAGACAATTAAAGAACAAACATCCAGTTTCATTCACAGATAATTGTAAAAAAAGCAGTAGAAAACAAAGTCTAGCTTCACAAAGTTGTCATTGAGACTTCCTTTTAAAAATATTCGTTGTGGTTTAGATACTTCCTGAGGATCTGAGAGCCCCAGAAACAAATACCATCTCCACCTCTTAGGCAAGGTTTTGGTAGCAGGAGGTTGACTACAAGGGTGGCTTCTGTGAGAAGCTTGTAGAAGCTTCCCCCATGTTTGACACAGTCAGTGCCAGCAGGCTCCAAGACGGACCCACTGCTGGCCAAGGCTGAGCCCTTAAGTGACGGTGGCAGCACCTCTGGGATAACAAATTTAAGAAGGAAAAAAAAGCTAATGCACAGAAGCAACTGCAGCCAGAGAAGAGAGGAGTGAGAATATGTGACAGAAACAGCCCTGCAGACCCCAGGATCAGTGCAGAAGGAGGGAGAGGAGGTGCTCCAGACACCAGAGCAGAGATTCCCCTGCAGCCCATGGTGCAGAGAATAGTGAGGCAGCTGTGCTCCTGGAGCCCATGGAAGTCCATGGGGGAGCAGAGATCCACCTGAAGGCCCTGGAGGAACCCCTACTGGAGCAGGTGGATGCCTGAAGGAGGCTGTGATGGCTTTGGTGGGCACATGGCATCCAGCCAAGGTCAAACCACCACACACACCTTAGATATGAATTATCAGTCTGAGGTAATAGCTGGGAATAAGGAGCTCCTTTATTTTAAATTACCCATCTATCCTAGTTAATCTTTTCATTGTAATCTAAAATTCACTGGAATTTTTCCAAATTCTCTCCTTTAGAAAGTCAGTAACACTTGTTTATCCCACAAATGTGCTGGAGAGTTGTCTAGAAAGAATTCTGGGAATGGAGACTGTAAGATAAGTTGCTAAATGTTATTGATTTGGGAATGTGCTGCAATTATTCTAGTAATATGGCAAAGACCAATCATTAAGTTGGACTGTCATGCTTGACGCACTTCATGTCTCCCCTGGGGGCATCATTGGTGACCACATGGAGGGGCAGCAGGGAGTAAAAGTCCGAAGCCCAGACAAGGCTCAGCATGCTCTCCACGTCATCTCAGGTCTGTCCCACAATATATCTTACCAGACAGGATGTTGGGATAACAAATGGGAGCTTCCCTCTCCCACAGCAGGGACTCTCTGACTTCTATCACTCTTCACTTCCTCCTGCATGGATTAGGCTCTGCAAGCTCCGATGCTTTGCTGGAGAGAGCTTTCAACCTCTCACCTGGTACCAAAGCACTGAAACTATTAAGGAGCTACAAGGGCCACTCTTGTCTCTGATATACCCTCCAGTCATCCATGACCTTTCAAACCATCTTTTGTTCTAGTTTTATACAGTATCTATAAGGATCCACATTTGTTTCGTAAGTGGTATGATAATAGAGAACAAACTTGTGATCATTTGGTGTTACCTTGCTGTAATAAAAGTTTAAGAGTGAGAGTAAGTGGTTCTTTGATACTATGATAATTCTTATATAGAGAGGCTTATTTATGTTAAACTTTCATTAAATCAGGCTAGATATCAAATCATAAACTCTTGCTTTCTGAAATGCTCAGTTTAATGGATGAATTCAGCTTAAAGCATTATAAGGCCTGTTCAATTACATTACAATCCTGTGCTGGAACTGAGAATTCCTTTGCAACAGAGAAGACTATGAAAATATCGAGCTTTATGGTTGCACTTTTGCCAGCAAGAACATTTTGTAATCTTTGGATTGTGGCATCTTCATTGCTGGCTGAAATATGGATCAGATTTGGCTACTTAAAACATCAGATTGAAAAACAGCATGAGTACATGAATAAAACAAAAAAGAAGAAATAGCTCCATATTCAAGCAGAATTTTATTCAAAATCCTGGAAGTACAGATCTACATTTCCAAAGGTAGCTAGTCATTCTGATGTTTGATTTGACACATCAAAGCAAACTCAAGTCTTCATAGCAGTAAAGTTCAGCAATCTGTAAAAAAACAGGATCTGCTCTCAGGATGGATGAGACATTACATAGTGAGCCCCCCAAATCAGTAGTCACTTTTAGGGAAAGACAGCAAAAGGGAGAAACAAAAATGCATTAACTTCAGTAAATTCGGCAATGTGGATATATGTTTTGGTTTTTTTCTCTCTTCTATTTATTTCTCCTACATCTTTTCCCTGCATTTCTTACAGTTTCTATCTCTGTTTTCCTGAACTGTGTTCTCTTCAGTTCCCTTCAGGAATTCCTGACCTCCTGTTCTGTGTCTCCCCTTTCATTCCCCTTGTCAGTGCCGCTTCTTTTTCCTTTTGCTAGTTCCTCTCCTTCTGGCACTAAACACAGTGGGCTCACCTCTAGAAACACCTGTTCCTTTTTGTCCATTTCCATAACCACTACCTACTGCATCTCCCAACTAGTATATTACTCCCTCATTTCTTCCCCAGACTCTTACACAGAAGAGGGGGTGTGAATGGAGATGGTTTGGTGAATATAGGAGCTTAAGCTAGATTGCTCCTAATTTTTCTCCTGTCATGTATCTTTTCTGTCACCTCTTCTCTCATGATACCTTCCTGTTCAGAACACGGACTATAGCTAGTGAAGAGAGAACCACTTGTCTCTAGCAGCAGTCCCTGAGAAGGTGCATCTAAATTCGCAAAGGAAAACCAATAGATCCCATAAATTTCAGCACCTATATCAATTTGAATAAACTGCTTTGTTCTAAAGCTGTTCTTTCTTCATGGATTTTAATAGGAAATGGAGGAGATCATGATCTTTGAAAACTATGTATGCCTTCGCTAGAAGCCTCAGTTTAACATGAACTTTAAAATTATGTCAACATCTCAAAACTCTGAATTATTTTTTAGTGGTATTTTAGGCCTACTCTATAACCAAAATGTTCCTACAAGTAGTAACTCTAAAGTAAAGGAGCATGTCAGAAGGCTATACTGGTTAAACAGTTCTTATACCAGTAATAACTTAATTCATGCTACTGTTGTAACTAAGATGCCACTATCTCCAGATCTCACAAGATCAAGATCAGAAGTGCTAGTCATGGAGCTACCTGTATTTTTACGTCACCAACCCCTAAGAACGTGGGAAGGAGCTTCATTTAATGGCAAAATATGCTGAGTTCATATATTCTGCAAGGTCATGGCACTAAAAATATTCCTCTTACAAAGCTAACAAACTCTGTTTCCTCAGGGTTGGAAGCTTTCCCCTTCTACTACGAAGCTCATACATTTCACTGAAGCAGAGAAGGTAGGCACATTTAGAAGACTATGCTAAAATCTACCAGCTTATAAGGAATAGGTTTGCTCCACAAAAGCCACACTCCACAGACTGTAAAGAAATACATTCCCCAGGGCACTAGCTGACCATTGCAGGCAAATACTAAAATACCTGAAAGGTTACCTAGATCAAGTTCTTTTCAGGAGACACGTTGGAGGAGAGCTTTTCCAAACAACTGAATTTGTTAAGGTTGGGTGTTAAGAACAGCAAGTTCATTATGAACATGAAAACAACACTCACCACCTATCAGTAGGAAGCAAGTGATTATTCCACACATTTACAAAAGGTTTCAGAATATGAAATAAGGTGACTCAACATAGCAGTCCTAAACAGATTTCTTATGCAAAGATTTCAAGTCTGTTAGCTACTTGTTAAAGGAAGAGGTGAGTTAGTTCTGCAGAAAGATGCCCTGCAAGTTAAAAATGAGTTGTTATAATGAACGTTTCTTGTTATCGACTCTTACTTTTTATTCTTGCATGTCTTGAGTAGAATTGAGGCTGTAAAAGTAAACTGCTCCTGTTCTGTGACACTGCTTTCAGGCTTCTAATGGAGAAATTGTTTTTCACATCCCAAACTCCTTCTAGAGCCACTGTTAATAATTTGGCAAAACAATAGCATTATAACTGATTACTTCAACTTGTTCTAGAATTAATGAAATAATACACCACAACATTCTTCCATAGTTAATGAAAATAGATTGACATCTGCAGAGAGCAATTCAGATTGCTAAAAGCATACAACTCTCTCTACTGCCTGTAGAACAGATTAAGACTACTAAAGCTCCTAACTGAAGAATGATATAGCTTGGCTATAATATATAAGAAACAGCAGTAATACCACTGATACATCCAGCATCATTTTTTGATCATACTGGAATATCAAATGCCCTCATAAAAAGATAGAAGAAAATACCTCTCCCCCTCCAAAAAAAACCCAAAACAAAACATGAAAATGAAAACCCAAAAAACACAAACAAACCAAAACAAAGCCAACACCACCAGAATTAAATAAAAAGCTAATTTATTTTGTGGAAAGGTTACAACTTACTAGCCATCTAATTTATGTAAAACAATACATTTTCATAATCTAAACAGTGTAAATCAGTAACTATCCAACCTGGCAACTATTGTTTATCAGAGCCCAGGCCACTTAGGGAGCATGTCTAATTCTCCAAATGAAACAGATGAAAAAGGAACTTAGTACTCACTGAATAATCTGTACACCACCATCCATCTGACTGTATTTATTATTCATAGCATTGTTATACTATGCCTATAACATTATGCTAAAATATCATTTCTATACTGAACATATAATACCATTTCTATACTGAGCGTATTATAGATCCATATTATTCATTCCTGTAATGAATATTTTTGTAATGTTTCTATGTTATCTTTAGTACTTTAAGCCTTTGTAACATACATTTCACTGGGAGACTCCTCAGAATTCCTGAGAACATATAAGGTAGCATCCAGACTGAAATATTGCAGACAATTTTAATTCACTGGCAGATGGATACAGCAAAATAGTTGTGTTCAGCTCCTAGTAACGTTAGGAACATGAGCAGATTGAGCAGACCAATGTTAACATCTGCCATTCAGCTACATGTTCAGGTAGCTGAACAGGTTTCAAAGTGCCTTTTTCTCTTCATTTACTATAAACAGAACCTACATAAGTCAGTCATTTGCAGGTGTGTGCTGTAATTGCCTAACAAGCCTAACCAAAAAATACAGGTGCAGGCTCATATGGTCTTTACATCTGATACCTAATTTAAGTACATTTTTGTCTGTGAATCCAACAGTTTTAAATTCATTTTGACTGAGTTTAGAATTGGGTCTCTCAATCCTACACAAGAGAAACTATTCCAATAATTACAGCACTTCTTTCAAAAGAAAAAGGTAATAAAACCTCTTCCTACTGTTTGGCATTTGTTTCAGCTTTATTAAACTGATAGATCACATGGAATTATCTGTGTTCTCTGTGGTCCCATAATTTCTGACAAAAAAAGAAAAAAAAATAATAAAGACTATATTCAACTCTTGTGTTTCTAAATGTTCCCAAGGATATCACATAAATGTTCTGGGTTGCTTTTTTTTTTTTTAAATAATAATTTTACCACAGTTCCTCAAAACAACCATTTGTCCTGCCAAACACTTGCCCTTTGCTGATAAGGAGGATTACCTGCAGCTGGATGTTTAACATTGCATTCTTCTTTCTGAAAATGAAGGTGCTCCTCAAGTATTTCTTTAACTCTCCTAGGTGGCTCGACATATACACATTTCTTCCCTGCTGGTAAAACATATTACAAAAGAAACAGTTATTACGAATCCCCTGAAAGCTGACATGCTTTGCTGAACGCAACGTCAAATTATGCTGCTCTGCTTCTGTGTTTAATACACTGTCATTTTAATACATCGTAACTTTAATACACTGTAAGACAAATCATTTACAAATATATAATAGTGTTCAGCCAGGCTCTGCTCCCCAGCACCGAGTGAATCCTCAGGATAGGAGGATGGCACAGGACAGGACCCTGGTGGGTACATCCATATGAGGTGTGCTTATAGCCAAGGCCACTGAGGGCACTCGGCCACTGTGCCTCCCACCGACAGACATTCCAAGGCAGGGCCGTGCATGAACGAGCACCCTAGGAGATGTCCTCGCTGGAAGAGGTCTCCAAGAAGCTGAAGAGGGATGCGGGCACCTCATGGCGGCAGGGGAGTCTCTGCCTGACAGGGCGCTGCCCGCGCCAGGGCCACAGTGCCGAGGGCGGCGAGTGGCCGCCGAGGTGCCCGGGGGGCATCAGTGAGGAGCCGCGGGTGGCTGGATTGGCGCTCCGAGGGGACACGGCGGGGCAGGCCCGGAGTGGGGCAGGGGCGGCCGGGGACCGGGACCGCTGTGCTCACGGGGCTGCTCGCCGCGGGCATCGCTGCCCGGCTCCTCGGTCGCCGCCGCCGGCAGCTCCCGGCCCGCCGCCCTCATGGCCGCCACGCCCGGGCGTTGGAGTCGGGCTGTTGCCACGGGAGGTTGCCGGGCCGCTCGCGCAGGCGGGGCCGTCACGTCGGGTGCGAGTTCCCGAGGGATGGAGCCCAGCGCCTCGGGCAGCTCCGTGCCCGGGGCCGGCGGACCGCGTCCCACATTTCCCGTCACAGCGGGCTGTTCTACCCCTTCCACAGGCCAGGGATAAGCGCGGGGGTGCCCCCCCCCCCCGAGGCCCGGCGCGGCCAGCTACCATCCCCAGAGGACAGCAGGCCGTGGCCACCTCACGCCTGCTTGGGGCACGGGTGGGTGGCAGCTCTCGGAGCCATTAACAGCTACTCCTTTTTGTCACTCAGCATGACCCCACGCAGGAGCGGGGCACGCACATCACCGTGTACCCCCGTAGGGTGTCACCACTGGCCTGCCTCATGGAAGGATGCCTTGTCACCCTCACTCAAGGCAATGGCAGACTGACAGGAGTAACGAGAGAAGAGCCCTGTTTAACTGATGTAGATCTACTGATACTCAAAAGTACTAGCTTGGTTGTAAAATGAAGCATTTTGAGATGTTGTTTACAGGTCTGAAGTATACTTGACTCTCCTTGTTTTGCCACAGTTACAGTTTTGACTAAGAGGAACAGCTGCCATTTACAGTAGTCAAGGGATGATGCTGCCCCCAGGCACGCAGGGAAGCTGTCCTGCTCACCTGGCTGAAAGCTTTCCTCGATAGTAGCTTCCTTGAAACCAACTCTTTGCATATGGTAGTGAGAATTTATAAGATACAAACCAAGTCTGGTTACACAAATGCATGACGTAATCCATGTCTGTATTACTCCTTGACACATTTCAAAGCATATTCATTTTTCACTGATGTCTGGAAACCAAATTTTCAAAAATAATAAGCACTAAAATCATCTTATAGCATTCATAGTTCAGAGGCTGTTCTTCATTTTCTAACAGAAGTGCGGCACATTACACACTCCTTCCCTCCAAAGTCGCTTGATGAGAGCACCAAATATGGGCCAACATACCCCAACCCTTCTGCTGCTGCTGTGACAATTGTGCTTCAGCTGTGTTAGTGGTGTCTGGAAGGAGCATGGAATCACTCAGTAAGAAACCTGCATGGAGCAATAAAGTGTTTTGTTACAGCTCTCATACTGAGAAAAACCTGACAGAACTTCAGGTCTTACATTCAAGTTTCAGTTCAATTTGTTTAGCAGAGAGAAGCAAGTTTCTCCACTTCTCAATTACAGATGGCAAAGTTGAAGCTGAAAATCATGCAGCATGCCAGTACCATGGGAAAATCTTTAATGTACGTCTCAGTTTAAAGAGACAGGAGGGCGGGATACGAGAAAAACCAAGCTCCTCCTTCTGACTAATTATAACTTTGAAATTAAGAGGCTCCAGTCGAAAAGGTGCGGAAAAGAAAATAACAGCTATTTACTAAAGAATATATATATATATATATATATATATATAACACAAACAAACAAGCAATAATCCCGCAACCAAACTCCCACCGAAAACAACTCAGTACTTTTTGCCCCTCGGCGCAGTGATAACCATCCCCAGCAGGGGGCGCTGGCGCCTCGGGAGGGGGCTCTAGTGCCTCACCGGTGGCCGGCAGGGGGCGCTGCTGGGCTCTGGCGGCCGCCAGAGGTGGCGCGCGGGGGCGGCCGGGTCGGTCCAAGGCACGGGAAGGGAGAAGGGAAAGGGTGGCTCCTCCTGCGGACTCACGCTGCCAAAGGCTGGCTCTGGCTGGGGATCCCCTTCCTCGTCAATGGGTGCTGGCTGCTGCCAACACGGGGAAAGAGGAGGGGAAGGGCGGCCCTTCCCCCCAAAGACTACCTCGCAGACGGCACTGGCTTTCCGATGAATTCCAGGCAAGTCCAGGCAGTGGGCAGAGCAGAGCAGAGCGTGAGGACTCAGATGCGAACTGGGACCTCCCTCGGGGCCAGAAGCCAAAAAATGACCCGGCCGAAAGAAAAACGAACCCCGGACCCCTTCTTCTTCACACACCCTCTCCAAGTCCAGGCAAAAGCCAAGTCACACCTCCCATGGAAAAAAAAACAATTAAAAAAAAAAGCTGCCTCTACGCCTAGCTGAGGCTACAGGAGGATGGGGGTTCTCCTTTACCAATTTAGCTGGTGTGCCGAGGTTATTTAGGATTTCAATGAAGCAGTCGTTAAGTCTAAGAGTCCTTCGGCTCGAAGAGTCCTAGCTTGCTGGCAAGGAGCTGTTGGTGTGGGAAAATTTACTAGGAAAAAGTAATAAAATATAAAACTATAACAATGTACTAACTCAAAAGTGGAAGAGAAACACTAAATTACCTGTAACTAAATCAGCTGAAAGTAATCAGACAAAACAGTATGCTTGCTGTTTATCCTCACAGAGTTGAGGCTCATTTGTTCCAACCAATGCCATGTCCCTGACCTTAAATCTTTAAGCAATTTAATTTTGCAAGGGAAGAGTAAACAGGATCTTGATAGAAAGTCATTTCCTTGAAAAGTAACCAAAACTCCTTTCTCACCCTGTGGATAATACTTAGTATTTATGAACAGGCACTTGCATTGATAAATGAGCTTTCAATTAAACATATGACAAAGTACTTGAGGTTAAATATTTTATTTTATAATAAGCCTTATACCAAGATCATTAAATATTTTGTGTATCACCCAAATAAGTTACATTCATTCTGAGCTTTCATGCAGTTTTAAAAAAGTTAAAATTTCTCAAAAAATTCATTTTAAAGTGAGTTGCAATAAACTCTGCCTAACTGAGCCAGAATTCTTTAATATCAAGTAAATATTCCAGTTTTCTTTACTGCTACGACACTACAGATCAATTAGACAGGCCCCTCCAAATTTGCACTAATTAAATGGCAACACACAGAAACTACTGAGACTTTGTGAATACCTTCAGTAACAGTAGTAACGCTTCAAAGTATGAGTGAGACAATTGAGCTGAATTGCAAGAAGTGACATTTTGCCTGGGAGAACAATAAAGTATCTTACATTACATTAACCTTGTTGCAAAGAGACAGGCCACCACTGATGAGCATGCAGAACACAAACAAGAAAGTGGCAGCAAACCCCACATTCATAAGCTTAATCACAGCTTTTAAGGGGACACGGCATTTATGCAGTCTTCTACTATTTCAAAAAGGTAGTGATACATATCAGTCCTCCTAGCAATGTCAAGGGCAGTTTCATCCAAGCTGTTTTTCAGGTCTGGTTTCACGTAACGATTCATCAGCAAGAGTTCGAGGGTTTCTCTGCTGTTTTTGTTTCCTGCAGCAATATGCAGTGGGGTCAGCAAACCATTTGTCTGTGCGTTGATGTCTGCGCCTTGCTGCAGCAGGAACGCGGCCACTCTTGTGTTGTTCCACTTGCAGGCGCTGTGAAGGGGTGTCCAGCCGTCCACAGTCTGCGCATGAATGTCAGCCCCCTGTGCCACCAATTCGTGTGCAACGTCCAAGTGCCCCCTGTAGGCAGCTCGGTGCAGAGGAGTGTACTGGTCTTCATCACGAGCATTTACTGGAGCCAGCTTTTCAGTCAGGAGCCTCTTTACTGTACTCAGCTGTTTAAATAAAACAGGTAATTTCATGTGATTCCGTGAAACAGGATGTACGGCTTTTCCTGTCTGGAAGTTCAGTGGAAAACCAATTTCTATCAGTGTCAAAAAACGCTTAAGCGCAACAACAGATTTTAAAACGAAACCAGCTATTGTTACTAGGGTTGGGGGATTTTGTGGGGTTTTTGTTTGTTTGTTTTCCGTGGGTTGTTCTGTTTTCAAAGAGCTAAAACATGAATATTAGTTGCAACACCTTAAGAGTACCTTAACCTTACACCTTCTCCCCATTCACTGTGAAGACATAAGTACCTCCACAGAACTGCAGAGGGGAGCTTTTGTGTGTAAGAAAGGCAACTAATGAAAATAAGTGTACACGAGGGTATAGTAACATAACAGGAATCTTGGTTGTCTCTCCCTCCCTTCAAAAAATAAAGTTGGATTTCTTTTCCATAAAAATATACAAAAACAGTGACCTGTTATCTGCATATGGAGCTTCTGAAACAATAAAATTTCAGATACATCCTCTCCACTCCAGTTAAAAGGCTTATTTGCCAGGAAGAAAGAGCCTGGCATGCTTTCCGTTTATGTAAGTTAAAGAAAAGTGCTGTTACTTGAACTTTCAACTGAAATCAAAGCTTGCTTTGTGAAGGCTAATGGATCCAGAGACTTTTCAGTGTGCGTGGGCTACAAAGGGAGATGTTCTACATGCAGTGGCTTGCAAAACCAGATCAAAATAGCTCAGAGAAAGACAGGAAAGTGTAGGCAAATTTTTGTTTGTGGATGAGTTGTTAGATATGTGATTAAAATAACATTCTTCTAAGTGCTACATATGAACAAGTGCCTTACCCGATTGTTTTCAGCTGCCCAGAGTAGCAATGTCTCTGGATTTTTTTCCATTTTCTTTTCTTGCATTTCATACCATTCCTCACTTCTTTCTTGCTCGTCATCATCATCATCGGATTGTCCTGACCAACAGCTCTGAGTTCCCACAGGAATCAAATGCCTATGAGTCTCCAGCAGTTCAAGCTGGTTAAAATGCTCTGTGAAGTCTTCAAACAACTCACTATCATCGTCGTCGTCATCGACTTGCTCTTCTTTATTCATTTTCAGTCAGCATCTGTGAACAGCAGATGTACAATCTTGTTGTTGCACAATACAAATGGATGATGTGGACATGGACAAATACGAAAATTAAAGAGCAAACTCAGAGTTCCTCCACTAACCCGGTCCTTGTGACTCTGCCAGAACTCCCAGACAATATCCACGCTGGAAAAGGACAATGTTACCCCGGTCCCGAAACGGCACCACTTTGGGACGGGCAGCGAGAAGCAGCGCGAGGGTTTGCAGAGCGCACCCGGAACGCTGCCCGTTTTCTTAACAAAGAGGCCGGAGCAGTCCGGATAGTAGGGCAGAGTCTCTGCGAAGCCCCGCGGCGCCTGTCCGGCCCCGACCCAGCCCGCAGCACCGGCCCTGCTCCTCCTCCTCCTCCTCCTCCTCCTCCGCTCCGCTGCGCTCCGCACCCCCCCGGACGGGCCCTCGCGCCACAGAAGGACGCTCCCCCGCTCCCCGCCGGCTGGGCCGGGCCGGCACCGCCAATGTCTCCCCTCTGCCCCGGCCGTGCCGGCGGGCTGCCGGCAGCCAGACCCCGCTCTAATCCCGTCCCACGGGTCTCCCATCCGCGCCGAGCACCCCCCGGCCCGGCCCAGCTTCGCCCGCGGTACCTGCGGCCCCAGCACGGCCGGGCGCTCCGGGGCGGGGCCCAGAGGCGCTTCCGGGCCGCGGCGGCGGACGTGACGTGCGGGGCCGAGGCAGCGGCGGGAGCGGGGACTCATCCGGAGGCGTGAGGGATCGTTCGCTGTGCCTCCGTGCTAACCCAGCGTCTCTCTTGTCTCTTTCGTTTCACACACCGCCTATGACGAGAGAAGCTGACTCCCTGACCTGAACAGCCTTGGCACGAAGATGAGCACCGTCAACTCACAGTAAGTTCCCGTCGTCTGCGGCGCCGTGCCGTCCTGTCACATCAGACAGCGAGTGTTTTGTATGTTTGGGATGAGTTAAGGAGAGCTCGGATCATCATCTGTGTTTTCCCTCAGGTCCTTATGATCATCATGCTTGCCGTCATGTACACGCAGATTACCAGTGCGGAGAGAGAAGTTGAATGTTTGTTCAACAAGTATTTTTAAAGGCAGGAAATATACAGAGGATTCCTTAGTTTTTCATTAGGTACTGCGGGGAGGTGGTTGCAGCCCTTTACTAGAGTAGAATGACTGGGATGAACCTAGCAACTGGTTGGTTTGGTGATGTAACATTTGCAGTAAAAGTAGCAAAATATTTTAAGAACATTACAGGAATGACATTTGGCAGAGTTTTATGGCAGATCTCCTGTGTATTTTGTGACTTTGGACAGACCAAAGCTTACCTTAATAAAGACTGTGTTGAAATTCCCTATGTGTGTTGCTCTGTGACACAAGTTTTTCTGTCTTATGTAGGGATGATGAAGACACCTTTAAAATACTTGTTGCTACTGATATTCATCTTGGCTATTTGGAGAAAGATCCAGTTCGTGGAAATGATACATTTGTAACTTTTAATGAAATTCTGGACCATGCTCAAAAAAATGAAGTAAGTGCTACTTTTTGGAAAGGGAAGGAGTGAGGCTGTTGAAAATACATTTGTATCTGCCAAAAGCTGTAAAGCTTAGTCCTAGTACAGTCTATAGTAAAATCAAAACAAATGACTAAGCTATTTATTGCAAGTAGTTTCATTTCTGTTTTAGTAAAAGGAATGCCTATTCTTCTGAGAGAGCATTCATGTTAAATTATGGCCCTGGTTGCATTAACTGTGTTTTTGGATTGCCTGCACCAGTTTCACTGGTATTTACAGAGGGTTTGTCAATTCAAGGAGGGAAAATAGTAGGGGAGAGTGAGGTTGATAATGCACAGTCTTCAAATCTTCAAATCAGAAAGTAGAGAAAATGTTAGAAGCTTTGGAAGTGTTTGTTAGAGTGTTGAGTTGCTGAAGTGACCAGCCCTGGTGCCGGCACAGTCAGCAGCAGAATCCTCTAGAGTGGTGCAGAGGGGGGTTTCCCAAACCAGGGCAACCTTATGAGGAGCTGAGAGCTGCTGCCAGGAGCCTGCATCTCGAACAACAGCAACTGATGGGACCCAAGCAAGGCCAGGAGCAGTGGCAGCCAAGTACCTCCCCACCTGTAAAAGAAGCCCAGGGGGACCAGCAGCAAACAGGAGCACAACAAACATGACAGGCAGACATGCTGTGGCATAACATTTCATGCAGGAAGGGTGCTGAAGCCCTGCCTGCTCCACCCATGGAGCTGTGGTATCCATCTGACAGAAAGCCGTGGCCTCTCTCAGCACTGCATCCACCACAACTGACACAGCTGCCCAGACAGAGCTTCAGTGGGAACTGAATGCCACTCCAGCATCAGCTGCAGGGTGGGCTCTGCTGTTCCACCAGTGCTGACTGACAGCAGTGAGCACAGCTGTGGGAGGTGCACCTGGCTAGGGGAATTCCACTTAGGGACAGAGCACCAGGAGAGGGTGAGGAGGTGGAGGAGTATCAGGGAGTGGGTGTGAGAGAAACACTACTGGAACCACACTATGCCTTCCCTGTGATCAGCCTGAAAGGCAGACAGGACAAATGATACAGAAGATTTCCTGTCCTCTCTCCCACTGGATGAACTCACTGAATTAAGGGACAGGAGGCAATGGCAACATATTCCAGCCTGGTGCAGCAGATGCATCTCCTCTGTGACTGCCCCACCTTCCCAGGTAGCCTGGTATAACGGGTGTGAGGCTGCATCCCTAGGGCCTAGTTTGATTGACATGAGCCAGCAGTGTGCCCAGGAGGCCAGGAAGGCCAATGGCATCCTGGCCTGTATCAGCAGCACTAGTATGGCCAGCAGGACAAGGGTAGTGATTGTCCCCCTGTATTCAGCACTGGTGAGGCCACACTTCAAATCCCGTGTTCAGTTCTGGGCCCCTCACTGCAAGAAAGACATTGGAGTGCTGGACCATGTCCAGAGAAGGGCAACAGAGCTGGGGAAGGGTCTGGAGCACGAGTCTGATGAGGAGTGGTTGAGGGAGCTGGGGTATTTGTTTTGGAGAAAAGGAGGCTCAAGGGGGACCTTATTACTCACAACAACTACCTGAAAGGATGTTGTAGCCAGAGGGAGGTCAGTCTCCTAAGGAGCAAGCAATAGGGCAAGAGCAAATGGCCTCAATTTGTGACAGAAGAGATTTAGTCCGGATATTAGGAGAGGTTTCTTCCCTGAAAGGGTTGTCAAGCAGTGGAACAGGCTGCCCAGGAAGTGGTGGAGTCAGCCTCTCTGAAGGTATTTAAAAGATGTGTGGATGGGGCATTTAGGGACATGGTTTAGTGATGGAGTTGGCAGTGCTGGGTTAACATTTGGACTTGATGATCTTAGGGGTGTTTTCCAACCTAACGATTCTGTGATTCAGCTTTTAAGGAATTAATCTTTGTTGTTCAAATTATTTGTAATTTTGATGAGGTTTTATCCTAATGCTTTTTCAAAAGCTAAATATATACAATATATGTGAAAACCACAACTAGTACCTTCTCAAAATAATGTGGTGATAGCTACTGATTTCTTCCCACTAGCTACCGCAGCAATAAAAAAATAATGTATCTCTTCATGCCTGTCAAAAAAATGTTCAGGAGCCAATTTGGTGACCCTTATTAAAATACTTCACCTTCAGTGATACTTTTTTTTAATGCTGTCAGTTTTTTTTGTCCTATGGCTCTTGATAAATGGATCTTTTGGGATTTGATTTTGTTTTAAATAGTGATTTAATTACTTTTTTTTTTTCATGAGGAAGTTAAATTTTGTGTCTGCTACTACTAACTCCTTTTACGTAGGAGTATACTTCCTCAGATATGAGGAAATATGTGGAACTCCCTAGAAGAAATAATCTAAACAATTTTATTGGAAGTCTTTCAAGGTAATACGAAGTATTGTATTAAAATAATAAAGCTTTTTGTTACATACAGGTGGACTTTATTTTATTAGGTGGGGACCTTTTTCATGACAACAAACCTTCCAGAAAAACAGTACACTCTTGTTTGGAGTCGCTAAGAAAATACTGCATGGGTGATCGTCCTGTTCAGTTTGAAATTTTGAGTGATCAGGCAGTTAATTTTCATTACAGCAAGTAAGTATGTTCCTATAAATTATCATGTAAGGCTTGGTTTGCATATTGGGTGAACGTGTTGTGATTTTTAATTTATATCCTCTGTGACTAGAACCTTGCAGTTTTAGGCCTCTCTTTGTCTACAGGATAACTTCACTTACCTAAGTCTATAAAGGAATGTGTACAGTATTTTGAGAAACTTTTGTATGTGCTGTGACACTTGATACCTTTATGTAATCTACAGTTTCTATCTTGCAAGTACAATACAAGTAAACCAATTTAGATGAATTGCTGTGGTAAAATCAACAGAGTTCTTTGTGGGTAAGCAAGGGTTATACAGCTTAGTCTGCTGCTACCACACAATATGTTGTACAATTCTTTTCATAGACTTGTTCTAAAAGAATAGGTCCTTTTTCTACCCTATTCCCAGTTGGAAGTGCCATTCCAGTCCATGAGTAGGAATCTTCTTATGCTGTGCAGTTTAAGCTTATTCATAACCTCTTTGTACTCATTCGTGCAGCTGCTGTGATCTATCTGTGATGGTGTTAATTTGAAGAGAATATTGATAATCCACAAATTTGCAGATGTAGTTTAACTTCCTTTCCTCTTCTTGTTCAGATTTCCATGGGTGAATTATCAGGATGAAAATCTCAACATTTCTATTCCAGTTTTTAGTATTCATGGCAATCATGATGATCCCACAGGGGTAATTATTATCATAATTGTACTATGCTGTTACATTACAAAGATATTATAGAAATAGAGACTTGTATAGAAATACAGTTCTTGGAGATCACCTAGTTTTAGTCAGTTGCTCCAATCTTTGTGTAAATATTTTGTATAACTTTAGGAATGTTAATAAATGACAACAAGTAAAGGGTAAGCGTGACATTAAAAAAGCAAATGGAAAGAAGAGACTCATATGAACTACATTTAATTTCTTAATTTATGTAGGTTTCTGTCATTAAGAACAGGTTCACAGTGACAGTCTTTCAGAAGGTTTCTAAAACATTCTATCTGTAGAAAATTAAAGCTTTTTTTCTTAAAGGAAGAGAATTTTGGTATTTTGACTTGTGCATATGCAGCTGATATGCATCTTGCATTTTCAGGGAAGATAATCCAATAGTGATGAAATGCTAGCTTAAAAATAAGCTACTAAAAGTAAGCAGGAAATGGACATTTAGAAAGCATTAAAGTGTGTGTGTTGAATTAATAATTTTGCATTTTATATCAAATAGCAGGGTATCATGGAGATGAGGGTTTTAGCAGAAGTTTAACTTTGGGGTTATTATGAGGTAGTTAGCTTAACCAGATAATTTTTGTAGTAGTTTAGAGACTGTCTGTTTGGGGGTTTTTTTATGTTTTTGTTTTTCTGAATGATTTAATGTTTAATTTGACATTGTTCAAATTAAGTAGGACTTGTAAGGAAAAGGGATTTGCTTCTGTACCCATGAATACTTAAAAAAAAAGCTCATATATGTGGTGGGGTGTTTCAGCTGCAGAAGTTACTTAAGGAAAGATACTCTCTCTCCCTTTTGAGACTTTCACTTAGATATTAAAGACTAAATGTTTTGTTCAAAGTTTTTGTATTTGTTTCTTAATATTTTTTGCAGGCAGATGCACTGTGTGCATTGGATATTT